GTGGCTCAGTTGGTTAAGCAACTGCCTTCGGCTCAGGTCATGATCCTGGAGTCCCTGGATCGAGTCCCGCATCGGTCTCCCTGCTCGGCAGGGAGTCTGCTTCTCCCTCTGACAGTCCCCCCTCTCATGTGCTCTCTCTCTCTCATTCTCTCTCTCGCAAATAAATAAATAAAATCTAAATAAATAAATAAATAAATAAATAAATAAATAAACAAATAAATAAATAAATAAAAAACAATAACCCAAAGCCATCTAGCACTGGACCTCAACAATCTTCTCAGAATGCATGCAGTAGGTGGTCTATAAAACTTGGTTGGTTGGTTGGTTGAATACATGAACTGTGTGGTCTTGAGCAAGTCACTTAACATCATTAAGCTTCAGTCTCTTCATCTATAAAATGGGGTAGCTCAACTCAGGGTTTCTTCATTCATTCAACAAACATTTTGAGTTCCTCCTCTGTGCCCGCCACTGTTCTAGGCAGTAGGGATGTAGCAGTGAACAAAATAGACAAGGATTCCTGCCCCTGTGGGAAAAACGGAGCAGGGCAAGGGAAATGGGAGCGTGGTGGGGCTTGTACTTTCTAATAGGGTGGTTTGGATCCTCACTGGGAATGACTGAGCCAATCTTAAAGGACTGAGGAAGCAAATGGTACAGATGTCTGGATAGAACTGCTTCAGGCAGAGGGGGGAATGTGCCCGGTAGGCTCTGAGAAGAACCAGGGGGCCAGTGGGGCTGGCGGGAGTGGTGGGGAGGGTAGAGACATGAGGTCAGATGGGTCGCACAGGCCAGATAGCCTAGCATTGTGTAGGCCATGGCACTTTTATTCCTAGTGAAAACGGGAAGTCATCTTGGAGGATTTTGAGCAGAGGAATTACATGATCTGACTTAGGTTGTTGTGATGGCTTTAAATTATTATATTAAATATTAAAATGAATATTAACTATTTAAAAGGCCTGGCACAGGGCCTGGAACATGGCTTGTGTATCTCCTGGCCGAGTGTCTGGAATGGGGACATCCATTGATGTGTGTGCTCAGCGGTGTGTGGACCTGGGGAGAGAGGGCGCTGGCCGTGCGAGTCGCTGGCGCCCTCTCCTGGAAGAGCCCGCACTAGCTGTGACCCTCAGAAGCCATCCGGCTCTGGCCAGGCCCGCCACCCAGGGCAGCTGGCTGGCTGCAAGGCGTTCATCCGTCCCTCAGAATGGGCCCCATAGTGCCCTGCGGCCTGGCGCCGGGCTGGCTTTGTGCTGCCAGTCTGCCCTGCCTCGCGATCACAAGCCTGTGGTGTCATGGAAAGATATCTGGACTCCAGAGGCCACTGAGCCTGGGGCCTGGTCTTCTTCTACCACAGATAATGCTGTGTGACCTTGGCAGTTCAGCCCACCTCTCTGGGCTGTGGGGAGTTTCCTGCGGGTCATAATGATGCAGCATGCACCTGGCACATGGTCAGAGGTCAGTAAATGTTGGTTGGATCAGTGAATGAAGTGGGGGCTATCAGCCTTCCCAGTAAATATTTAATTTAGAGAAAAGTAAATAAAAGTGCTCAGTGGGTATTCATTCAACAAGTAGTTAAATATTTAATGAGCACCTTCTATAGAGCAAGCACTCTCCCGGGCACCAGGGAACCAGTGTGAGTAAAACGATGAAAACCTTCCCCTTTGTTGGCTGGCATTCGGGTCCTGAACCAGAGGTCATTGACGGATTTGCGTAAGTGTCCTGGGCAAGCAGGTGAGAGGAGGAAGAGGGAGGGGTGAGTGGATGTGTGGTAAGGTCTCAGAGGTAGGGGGAGGAGGGAAGTCAGAGTGGACAGAGAAGGCAGGACTGATTTCCTGGCTTAGGGACACATATGCCTCCACAGTCCTTCCTACCTCACTCCTCAGGTGGGGTCTGAGTTGGTCTAGAAATGGGTCCCCTGGGTCCAGTGAGAAGCGAGTCAGCCCTCCATGAGCTCTCTTCTTTCTTCATGATGTTCAGAGTCTTAGAGGAGAAGACACCAGAGTGTCCCAAGGAACAGGGAGAGGTTTTGCCAGGGAGGTGATGGGGTGCATGTGTACGACCACATGGAACCCAGATCTTTTTTGGCTTATTTTGTCCACTCTTTGGGAGCACCATAACCATGTCCCCTGCCCTAGAGTGCCTGCCTCACTGTCCAGCTCCCAAGGAGATAGGCAAAGCAGAGGACTTAGAACTAGAGGACTTCTACTTAGGGATTTTTTTTGTTTTGTTTTTATTTTTTTTTAAAGATTTTATTTATTTATTTGACAGAGAGAGACAGCGAGAGAGGGAACACAAGCAGGGGGAATGGGAGAGGGAGAAACAGGCTTCCCGCGGAGCAGGGAGCCCGATGTAGGGCTCGAGCCCAGGACCCTGGGATCACGACCTGAGCCGAAGGCTGACGCTTAACAACTGAGCCACCCAGGCGCCCCGGTTTTGTTTTTTGAAAGATTTTATTGTTAAGTAATCTCTATACCCAATGTGAGGCTTGAACTCACAACCCCAAGATCAAGAGGCAGATATGCTCTACCAACCGAGCCAGCCAGGCACCCCGAGAACCAGAGGACTTCTAGTCCCAGGAAGGCTCTGCTCAGAGAATGCTTCCCCACTGGGGACACAGGGTGAGTCTGAGCCTCCTCTCTTCTCTGAACAAGTGGGTAGTAGTCACAAGAGACCGAAGTGTGCTGAGGAGGAGGGCTTTCTGACTGACAGAGCTATCCCCAGCTCCAAGAAGTCAGGAGGTAGTGCGTTCTCCGACACCAGACATTCAAGCAGAGCTTGATGACTGCTCATCAAAATGTTAGGGCGAGCCTGGGGAGGCGACTTCTGGGTTGTGGGCGTCACTCCCTGGGGGACTTGCCATCTGACTCTGAGAGTCTAAGATTTCTAGATTCTTTCCACTTTAGTGACTAGTCTACACCTAAGCTTTTTTGGAGGGTAGGGATGTCTCTAAGACCTTCCCTGACTTATGTGTCCCTTTATCCTTTATGGGGTAGATGAGCGAGCGTACTCATTTAAGGGAAAGAAGAAATTGCTGAGAGGCTCCTGAAATTACTCACAGATACGTACACCACCTCTTATCCACCCGAGCCCAGCCTCACGCAAGCATTTCTCTCACAGAGAGACTAGCTCAGGTTCCAGGGCCCCCACCAGGCTCAGGAGTAAGCCCCTCACCCATCCCTCCTCCTATAGCCCAGGGTGAAGACACTGCAAATGCTACTTCTAATTTCACTTGGAATTCCACTACGGGTTGATTGGGGGTAGTTCTGAGGTTTGCAGCGTTCATCCCACTAGGGCGCTAGGGGGAAAGAAATGACCACGGGTCACCAGTGGCAGAGGGAGGGGACCCCGGGTGTGCCCATGATGCTCCCCAGGGAAAGCTGAAGAATACCACAGAGAAGGGTGCTTTCTTATAGGGAGGAGCTGCTTAATCCAGAGGGAAGGGGCAATTTGTGAGCAAGGGTAGCATCCAAGGAGAGGGATAAAGAGACACCAGAAAGGCTTTGGAAGTTTCTGGAAAAAGCCAGTTAGGAATGTCAGACTAGGGAACTTAAGACTAAAGCCCTATTAGGTTTTGGATTCTTTTTTTTTTCCCCCCCACAGACTGTCTGAATTTACCATGTTTGTGATCCCTACCCTCTTTTTCTCTCCTTTAAAGAGTAATCTCTTAAATCTGTGAGGACTAACTTGAAGGCCGAAGCCTATATGGATCCATCAAGCTTCCTAAATCTTAGACCCAAGTGGAATATATTTTTTGGAAGGACTGAAAAGAGACAGGCTTCACTCCTGTCCCCCCATAGCTACCCAATGGCCCCCAAGCCTATACTTCTATATTAAACGTTCCCCACAAAAACCTTTCACATACCTGTGTTAATACTTTGTTCCAGGATTTCCTCATTTTTTTTCATATGTCCTACATTCACCTATACTTACCAAATTCTCCCCAAATTTCCCTTTGGTATTTTCCTTGAGATTGCATCGCATTGAAAGTCTAGGTTAACGTAGGATGAAGTGGTATCTTTAGAGTGTTTGAGTCTTCTTCTCCAAAAACAATATAGAACTTTCTATTTTTCTTAACATTGTTATTTTTCCTGAATCGGCCCTTGTCCATAGAAGGTGCTCAGGCAGATTTAATGGGAGGGGGCTGTGAGCTGCTTTGGGGAAGGGAATAGGAGAGCCCTACTTCAGAGCCCGTCTGTGTCTGTCAGAAAGAACAGCAGGTGCTGTCCCTGCGGCCTGATGGTCTGAAGCTGGGGTAGGGGGCCCCAGGGAGGCATTCCAGGAATTGGGGCCTAACAGGAGATATTCAAAGCTCCCTAACAAAAGCCCCCTGCCCACCCATCCCCACCATAGGCCACATACACACAGCGAGGCTGGGAGGTTCTGGGAACAGGAGGGGTGAGAGGCCCCGGGGGATGGTCTGAGTGGGAAGGAAGCCAGCACATAGTCCATCTCAAGGGGCCCCCGGAGACGACCAGGCAATCAACACATCCAGGGACGTGCTAGGCTAGTACTTCTCTTTTTATTGTTTCTGTCCAGAGCCCCTGCTGCAGGGGAGGGGCAGGCACGGAGGGGGGCACCCCTCCCCCTGCCTGAGACCACTCTCTGCCTCTCTCCTCTCCTCTCCAGCATCTCGTCCACCCTCTCTCCTTCTGAATCTCCTGCTCCCACATCTGGCACCTTCTGGGGTTCCCTCTTGCAGCCCCTGCTTTCTAAGCCCACCCTGGGGAAGGTAGGGGCCATGGGGTCCATTTCAAGCCCCCATTCCCACAGGGGCTAGTCTTCCAGTCACCTGCCCGGCTTGCTGGGGAGGCTGCCCTGTCTCTCTGACCCAGGCTAGGGAGTAGGGAGTGGGGAGGTCTATAGGTTCCATCCTGATCCTGTGGGGTCCCAACGCCCTGCTCTGGGGCCCTCTCCAAAGGCAGAGGCTAGGGCCTGAGGTCACCGAGGTGGGAGGGGACTGCTCTCTCCTGGTTCCATGCTCGCTCTGCAGCTAGGAGCCAGGCTCACTCATTTCCAACATCCAGGACTCACATGGGTGGGGCTGCCTGTGCCTGGGCAGGGGTGGGCCATGGCCCCTGTGGGGGCCACGCGTGGTGGTCGGTGAGCAGGGGTCAGAGGCTGTGAGGGGAGCACTGTGGCTGGGTGTGGTGCCCTGGGATGGAAGGAGGCTGGCTTCAGGAGGCAGTGAGGACAGGGGCAAGGATGGTCTCTGGTGGCAGAGGGGTCTCTGGCTTTAGAGCACCTCGTGTTGCTGCTGTGTGGCCTCACTAACAACCTGGGAAGGAAGAGAAGCCCAGTCCAAAACAGTGCTGGCAGGAGAATGGAGCCCCAGCCCTGGGTTGTCCCCCCCGCCCGCCCACTCCAGTGTAGCAGGACCCCCTCTCCCTCCAGGCAGGGCCTTGAACCAGAACAGCTGGCGGAAGGCACCTGGCTGACAGCCTCACAGACATACCGCAGAGCCCCCAGCAGGCTAAGGGAACCAGGCAGATGGCTCACCTCCCCATCCCGGGTCTCGATGGTCTTGATCATCACCGTCTTCTTGGTATGGACCTCAGAACCCCTTTGCTCCGGGCTTGTTTCTGTAAGAGATCCATCCACACACTCAGCCTGGGCCACTCCAGGGACTGGGAGTCCATCCCTGGTCCCATGGGGTGATCTCCCAGAAGACTCCTACCCCCTCAAGATGGGCCTATTACTTTTTCAGCAAGACTTTATAACCTGCCCTTAAGCCCAGCACCTAGCAGGTGGCTCTACAGACACTGAGGCCAGTCCCATGGCTGAGATGGGCTCAGGAGGCAGTAGACGTGCTCTAGCTATGAGCTGATTCAGGAGAGTGGGGGACCCCTGAGGCCCCAGGCCACCCAACGTTCCCATTCCTCACATACTTCTTCACTCCCTCTCCACCCCCGGAGTCCAACACAGCCTTGCATGAATTTGTACCCTGACAGAACCCCAAACCCAGTCCCAAGATACAGTTTTGGAGGACCTCATGGTACCCAGTCCCCTTTAAGAGTCCAGATGAGGGGCGCCTGGGTGGCACAGTCGGTGAAGCATCCAACTCTGGGTTTCGGCTCAGGTCGTGATCTCAGGGTCATGAGCTTGAGCCCCACATCAGGCTCCATGCTCAACGCGGAGCCTGCTTAAGACTCTCTCTCCCTCCGCCCCTGCCCCCTGCCCTTTCTCTCTCTCTAAAATAAATAAATAAATCTTTAAAAAAAAAAAAAAAGAGTCCAGATGAGTAAACCATGTCTTAAGGAGAGACAGACAGGAGTCAGTTACTGATTCACTGTGCTGGCGGCCAGTCCCTTGCCTCTCTATGCCTCAGTTTCTTCACCGTGAAACCCTAACAACAACGCACTACCAGGGCCACACAGCCATTGATTTGAAAAAGCATTAAGCGGTTTCAACTGCAAGGCTCACACTTGGGTGTCTGCATAAACTACCGAAAAAAGACGTTCTGAGTTTTATAGGGCGGGTCAAATTTAGGTCCTGAATATTGTGAGTTTGGTGTTCATGAATCACCTCAGTGAGCAACCAGCCTGTGATGAACGTTGTAACTCGGCGGAGCCCAGCGTGTATTTTTCCCAATGGAAATGAACATCGAAGACAAAAAAGGTTTGATCTAGGAAAGGCGACACTGCCAAGGACTCCGACTTGCTTTCCTAATGTATCATTATAGCATGTTTTTCTGCTCTCTGGGGTTGGAAAGCCACTCGATCTGCATAATATTAATGGCAGAATGGCAGAATGCCCTAGGAGCTCGTTCTTTTAATTGTTTGGCTTTGCTAAGGTTTGGCTTCATTTTTTTTTTTTTAAACGTGCATCCAACATCTTGCTCCAGCAAACTGGATGTGTTCAACAAGCAGCTGCGGGGTGGGGGTGGTGGGGGGTGCTTGGCAATTTGCCAAACAATGGCTGGTGGGTGCCTTGTAGCCCAGGGTGTGTGCCTCTAGATGCTTCTGCTGCCAGACCCCCAAGGACACCCCTGGTACCCTCAGAGTTTGGGTATATTGGGAATAAAAGCTGTTTGCCAATGTTCAATAATCCCAGAAGGCGCAGAGGACATGGTCAATATAATATAATACCATGAAATAAAATAAAAAGCTCTCTCTGTTAGAAGGTGCCCCTACCTAAACTTCCCCACCTACCTGCAGCAGCCGCCTTTCTCTTTCCCAGTTCCCAGCCCCGTCCCCACGGTTCCACCCCCCCTCCCTGGCTGGCCTCGGGCAGTGCCCATGCTGCACTCCTGCCCCCTGCCACCCCAGCATCCACCTGCCAACATGCACTCACCTCGGAAGTTGAGAGCAGAGAAGGTCTGGATGGGGAGGTTGATCCTGAAAGGGGAGAGATCAAGCCCCCGAAGGGTTAGGGCCCTCTATCTCTCCCTGTGACCACCCATCAAAGCCTGCCCTGGTCCTCACTAAATGCCACTGTCAGCTGTCCCTGTCCCACTGACCCTAACACCCCCACTTTCACACTGCTAAGGGCACGGGGTCAAAGGGCAAGTCCAGCTGTCCCAGGAACTGTCCCTTCTGGGAGCTGTCCCCTTCCATCTCTGACCTGCTGGCCTGACATCAGTACTCCCGACCCCCCTGCCCTCTCTAGTTCACCAGGATCTCCTTCTTCAGGCACCGCAGAGTATATCAATAACAGCTGTAGGCCACATCCATCACGTATGCCTACCCTCCAGCCAGGCTGGGAACCTCTGGCCCACCCATGGGAGGGCTAGTTCCAGGGTAAACGCCATCCCCATTTATGCCTAGTGCAGGGAAAATACAACACATCTCGAGCTTAAAAGGTCATTATATGTACATGTAATTCTATGAAATCTGACCTCTCTTCATGTGCAGGTCTGTATTTAAACATGCCTACTGATTATTTTAAACTTTAGATATTACTGTTTTTATGAGTATCAATAAGCATCAAATTTTTTTTTTTTGAGTAATTGACCTGTTTTAAAGTGAGGTTAGGTTTACCTACAGTGAAATGCACAGATCTTCAGGATGCAATTCAGTGAGTTTTGATCAGTGTCTACATCAACGTAACTACCAGTCTAAATCAAGATACAGAACATTTCCAACACCCCAGAAAAGTTCCCTTGCATTGTCTTCTAGTCATATGTCATTTTCAGTATCTAGAAGTGAGTCGTTCTGAGCATGTCATGCTATCTTTTCCCGTGAGCTTGTGTGTGTGTGTGTGGGTGTGTGTGCATCCTTGGGCACGAGTCTCTGCCCCCTCCTTCTTAGCCTGTGTCCGGGGCTCTCTCTTTGTCCCTATCTGCCCCCTCCCTCTCCTTCCTCATCATTCCCCACTCTGCTTTCATCTATCCCTTGACTGGCAGGAATATTTTATGACTGGTTGCTGAACATGGTTTTATATCGCTGCTCTTAATTCTGAAGGTGGATGAGGGAATACTTCTTTTTCTCTTTTTATAGAAGCTATTAATTAAATCACTTTTTACCCAGGTGGCCTTGGTTAATTCTCTGCAATTAATGGTGTGGTGGCCTCTTGTATAAAATTATTTCCAGATCTTGCTAACGTGATCCTGAACCCCTCTCCCCTCCCACCCCTGGGGGCAGGAATGGGCCCCTGGGCACTCCTCAGAATCCCACCACCAGCCCCTCACCGGCTTTCCTCGCCCTCCAGCAGCTTCCGGTAGGTGGCAATCTCCACATCCAGGGCCATCTTGACATTGAGCAGGTCCTGGTACTCGCGCAGGTGGCGGGCCATCTCATCCTTGAGGTGCCGGATCTCTTCCTCCAGACGCGCAATGTTGTCCTGGTAACCACTGGCCTCACTAGCAAAGCGGTCTTCCATCTCGCGCATCTGCCTCATCAGCGAATCATTCTGCAGGACAGCGACACCCAGGTCAAGGAGAGGCATGGAGGGGTGGGCATGAGGGGCCCAGGGTGGGGAGAGACACAGCCTTGGGGCTGGGGCGCCACCCCAGATGGTAAGTTCCGGGAGTTGGCACACTCTTCTGAGCTAGGGAACCCTGAACTCAAGTGAAGTCTTCTCTGGAAACCCAGAGAATAGAAGCGATAAAAGGAAGCATCCATGTCTTTTCTCTCCACCACCCCCATCTAGGAGACCCCTGATTCCTGAGAGTTCAACTGAGAATCCACCTGTCTGTTTTCACCCCTGTGAGAGATGTGAAGAGCCAGAGGCCCAGAGAGGGTGTGTGATGGGAACCAAGGTCACGGAGTGAGAGTGTGAGCTGTGGGCCAGAAGGAGCGGGCCGGGCAAAGTGGGCAGGCACTCACAGTGCCCTTGAGGGCGTCGATCTCACAGGTGTAGGACTGGATCTGGTGTCGGTACTCCATCATCTCCTGCTTGGCCTGGCGCAATGCGTCGTTGTTCTTGTTGGCTGCCTGGGTCAGGTCGGACACCTGAGGGCAGGGAGGGGTACTGAGATGAGGAGGCTGCAGGACGCAGGTTAAGGGATGGCAAGGGAGCCTGCAGACCCTGGCTCACCCTCCTCCCCACGGAGAGAGCCACAGGAAGCACCTCCAAACAGGGATGGAGGGGGACAGAGGGGCCAGGCCCCTGGGCCAGGTTGCCCACCTTGGACTTGTACCATTCCTCAGCTTCTGAGATGTTCTTAGCCGCAATGGTCTCATACTGAGCCCGGATGTCCCTGAGGGCTGCGGTGAGGTCCGGCTTGGACATGTCCATCTCCACCTGTACCTGCTGCTCCTGAAGTTGAGCCTGTAGCTCTCGGATCTCCTGCAGGGCACAGCCGGGCCTCAGTACTCTATCAGGCCCCACCCACACGGCACCCTCACACCCCGGTTCCCAGAGCCTTGCATGGCTCCTCCCCCTTTCCAGCTGTTCTCACCAGGGTCTAAGGACCCTTAGGAGGAAGGCTGAAGGCATACCTCTTCATGCACTTTCTTAAGGAATGCAATTTCCTCGTTGAGAGATTCAATCCTGCGCTCCAGGTCAATTCGAGCTAGAGTAGCCGCATCCACGTCCTAAGAGTGGTCAAGCAAGAGGGAGAGGGTCACTGATAACCCAGGCAGGGCAGGGGGAGACCAAGGGCCACCCAGGGTCAGAGGGGTAAACCTGCTGGGGGACCAAAGAGGGCTCACCGCTCGGAAGGCAGCCAAATTGTTCTCTGCTTCTTCTTTCAACTGAATCTCCTCTTGCAGCCTGGCCAGAACAGACAGACGGAAAGAGACAGTTGGTGGGGATAAAACTGGCCGTGGGGATGGCCAGGTGGGGGCTGCCCAGGGAGTAGGGCTCAGGACACCAGGAGGAGGCCTGCCTATAGGGTAGAGACAAGAGGCCCTGCCCACCCAGGGAGGGGACAGGAAGTGGCCCAATTTCTTCCCCAGAGCCACACCCCGGAAGTCTATGTCCCCACCAGATTGTGACCTCCCTGGGATTAGGAACTGTGTCTATTCTATCCACCTCTATGTTCCTGCTTCACAGCCCCAGTCTGGCCCACGTAGGTGCTCAATTATTGTTTGCGACCCGGGTGGTAGGACAGTGATTCTGCTCACTTGGGCTGTCAGAAGCAGGACCCACGAGTACTTGCTCTATTCTTGTTGCCTTTTCCTACTGGAAGCCTGGTGAAGTCCACCATCAGGCCCTCCAAGCTTTCTGGGGGCTGTGGCTAGCTCCCTCCTCTTTCCTCTAGCTTATCCATTCCCTTTGTGGAATGGCACAGCCTCAGCCTGGCCTAGAGACCAAGATCTGCTCTCTACCCACCTCCCCCAGGGCAGACCACAGAGGAGCCGAGAGCTACCACTTAGACTCCCCACCTCCTGCCCTTCACAGCTTGCCCCAGATTTTCCTTGTCTCCTATCAACCCCCTCCCCTCCCACCCCGCTACTGTACCGGGGCCTCCTCCCTCCGCTCACCTGCCTGTCCCCCATCGACACCACCCTGGCATCTTAAGATGCTTTTAAGGGGGCTGTCCACAGGGCCCAGGTCTCCCATTTCCACCCCGTGATGTCCCCAAGAAAACTCCTCCCTTGCAGAGTGAGAGCATGAGGGAGAGACCCGGAGTCCATCTCCCCTCGGGGGACACCGGTAGATGACTCTCTCCCCGCGGCGGGTAAGAGAGTGTCGCTGGCGCCCTGGGGGAAGGCAGGCCCTGACAGCTGCGCCCCAGCCCCGTGGCCTCGCCTCCCGCGCCCAGCCCACAGAAAGGGGGTTCTGGGAGCGCTGGGTCCTCACTTGGCCTTGAGCCGCTGCAGGTCGTCCAGCAGGTTGTCACGCTCGACGTCCACGCGGGCGCGCTGGTTGGTGAGCACCTCCACCTGGCGCCGCAGCTCGCGCAGCTCCTCCTCGTAGATCTCGGCGACCCGCGTCGGTTCGCGGCCCTTGAGCCGGTTCACCTCGGCGGCGAGCGCCGCGTTCTGCTGCTCCAGGAAGCGCACCTTCTCGATGTAGTTGGCGAAGCGGTCGTTGAGCTCCTGCAGCTCCACCTTCTCGTTGGTGCGCGTGGTCAGGAACTCCTGGTTCACGGCGTCGGCCAGCGAGAAGTCCAGCAGCTCGCCCGCGCCGTAGGAGGAGGGCGCGCGGGCCGACCCCAGCCGGCTGGCCCGCAGCGCCCCCAGGCCCCCGGCCCCGCCCGACGTGCGCGACATCTGGTACACGCGGGACGTCACCGAGCTCGAGGAGCCCTTGGTGCCGAAGCCCGCGCGCGGGAACACGGGCGAGCTTAGCGGGGAGACGTGTGGGAAGCCCCCGGCCCCGCCGAAGGTGCGGCGGTAGGAGGACACGCGCTGGCTGGACGAGTAGGCCTGGCTCATGGTGGCGGCGCGGGCGAGGCTGGGCGGCACGGAAGGGGCGGCGGGCGGCGGCCGGCTGGAGAGTGGATGCGTCCAGGGAAGACAGGGCCTCTTAGCCGTCTGCACTATTTGTATCCCTCCTGACATCAGCGCCCGCCGCCCCTCCCCTGACAGCTGCAGGATCCCGCTGTCCTGCCAGGAAGGGCGGCCGCTGGCGTGGGGGCGGGGAGGCCAGTTCCCCCGCAAGAGGCCCGCGCCCCTCCGCCGGTGGGAAGGGGCCCGTAAGAGGTGTGGGACAGGCTGGAGGATCTAGGAGGGCAGAAGATGGGCAGGCCTGCCAAACCCTTCACCCGGGGCACAGAGCATGTCTGGAATCCCTAGGCAGGCCTCTTTCAGCCCTAGGGTGCCGGCCTCGTCCTGGGGGGTAGTCAGGGGAGAGAGTGGGGGAGAGGTTTCCACTTAGTTCGAGGGTGTCCGTTTTGCTCTGAGGAGAGACTTTGGGTCATTTCCTGGAGGAACAATGCCTAGTCCCAAGAAAGACTCAAAATCACCCCCCCCCCCCCCAAAGATTCTCTAGAACTGGCCAAGGTTTGGGAGGACTCAGGAAAGACAGGCATCCACCAGCCAGGCGAGAGGAAAAGGGTCTCTAGGCAGGCAGGGAGGCTGGGAGAGTACCCTGGGGGGCAGAGAGCAGTCCTGGCCAGAGCCCGCCTGCTCAGATATGTCCCCTGGTACCAGGGCTCAAGCCCTGAGCCTCAGTTTCCCTCTGGGCTAGTGCAGGCCCTTTTCCTCCCCCTCTTCGGGGTAGGGCAGAGTCTCGAGTTTATAAACAACAGGGTGATTGCCAGAAAGGGCCTGGCACCCTCTCAGTTTCCAGTTACTATGTACTCTCACCCCTACACACCAACTTCTCCTGGCTTCTGCCCCCTTGTGCCCACCCCCACCCCTTCTCTGATTCATCCCCCTACTCACATCACCCACACCCACACACACCAGGGGTTTGTATTTTGTCAGGAGCCGTGTGTCAACCCAGCCATCTCTCTGGCAGCAACAACTGCCAACCCGGCATACCAGAGCTGGTATTTATAGAGGAGAATGCATCAATCTGGGAAACAGGCCCACAGGAGAGGCGCTCTGGGGGGTGGGGGCGGGTACCTGAGGAGGCCTGGGGGTCGGATGGCCCAGGCAGGTTTGGGGTGATAAGCCCCAATCACTTCCCGCCCCCATAATGCCCCAAGCCCCCAGCCAGAATGGAGTCCCACAGAGGGCTTGTCCAGTCCTTCATAGCCTTCCTCCTCCCCGGTACAAAGTCCTGGCTGACCCCTGAGGACATCCCCACTTCTCCATGAGCACTGGCTGCCTCCCTACACCTCCACCTGGCACTTTGCAGGCCTCTCTTAGACCTGACCCTTTCGGAATGCCAACCTCTGAAGTAGAGTGCTGGTCCTACCCCAGCTCTGCCATCAGCAGCAGGCCTAGTTACTAGCAGGCAAGTCCTTCACCTTTCTGTGTCCTCCACTATCAAGGGGAAGTGGTCAGCCTTGCCATATCTACCCTACAGGCTTTGAAGAGGCTCGAATAACAATATGCAGGGGCACCTGGGTGGCTCAGTCCATTAAGCATCTGACTCCTGACTTGGGCTCAGGTCATGATCCCAGGGTTGTGAGATCGAGCCCCGCATCAGGCTCCATACTGGGCATGGAACTTGCTTAAGATTCTCTCTCTCTCCCTCTGCCTCCCTGCCCTCCACTCTAAAAAAAATAATAACAATATGCAAATAATACCTTACATACACTGAGCACCCACTCAGTGTGCCACTCTGCTGAGCACCCCCAATCCTCCAACAAAGCTATGAAGTAGGAACTAATATCGTTCCCAGTTTATAGCTCAGGAAGCTGAGGCAGTCTGACTCCAGAGCTGTGCTTCCCCCTCCCCTCCCCCCCCCCACAACGGATGTGAATATGCCAGGTGAACTGTAAAGGACTTTGTTACTGCTGTCTTCTCAAAGCCTTTCCACACTAAGTATCTAATTTTTATCCAAGAGACAGGCATATGAGGTGGGTGGGGAGTTCCAGATATTCTTATCCAGGCTTCCAGTCAGTGCAAGCTGTTGTGTTCTGGTTATTTTTGTGTCTCGTCTCCCCAACTAGATTGTAGGCTCCTGGAGAATTTTAGAGACCATGTGGATCCTTAGCATATCCCAGGCAACAACCGTCCTTGTAGTTCCAAGTAGCCTGCAAGCTTTCTTTCCCATTCCCTTATTTTGGTAACAAAGGCTTCACACACAGAGAACACTCAATGGGTGGACAGATGACCCAGTTCCCAGCCAGTCTTATCAACTCTATCCCTTGGACTGCAGTGATTGGCTCAAGGGGTGACCTGGACCTGAGAAGAGCCAATCAGAGACCTTCCCTGGAATTTATAGATGGAACAGGGATTACTCAGCGGAAGCCTGTGGCAGCCATGTTTCCTGCCCCGTGGGGCATTCCAGCACCAGGAGGAATGGGAGGTCAGCCCACAATGAGAAGCAGACACACCTGGAGAGGAGAATGCCAGGCAGGAAATCCTCAATTCCAGCTCCCCAGGAGCCCTGGTCTGCAGCTCTACCCTTGACTTTGTGAGCCCCACACCCCCCCACCCCCACCCCGCCGTGTCCTTCCTGACTTGGGGCCAATAAACTTTTCCTTTTTTTTTTTTCCACTTAAGGCACTTGGTGCTGGCTCCTGTCACTCGTAGCCAAAACATTCCTGACCAATCTCTTGTAGGAGACGGTGCACCCATTTCCACACTACTAGGGAGGCCAGAACATTTTCGGGAGTCCTCTCTGTGAACCGTCTCCAGACCACATAAGGAAATTGCCCTTCGGACCAGCCCCGAGGCCTCAGTTCGTGGTGAAATGAAGCAGAAAACAAATAAATTATGTCACTTATTCTCTAGTCAAAGTCAACATCTACCAGACTTGGCTCTGAACCACTTGGGGCCATTTCCAAACTTCAGCTCCAACCCTGAGCATCTGCTACCATGGAGGGCAGCGAAACAACACTCCAAGGCTCGCAGAGCAGGTGAGAGAGGAGTGCTCCAGACATGTTCTGAACGGGGCAGCATCTCTGGAGTCAGGGTTTCACCTCCCCAGGGGACTACTTAGAAATGGACACACAAAAAATATTAATAATTTATCTGGATGGATAATGGACTTGGCACATATTTCAAAGGGACACCATTCTGCGGGATCGTATGCTTTTCACTCTGGTGATCATCTGCTCTGGTGCACAACACATTTTCATCTTGATGAGTCCAACTTACCTATATTTTTCTTTTATTGCCTGTACTTTGGTGTCATATCCAAGAAATCACAGCCAAGCTCAGCGTCATGAATTCTACCCACTATGTTTTCTTCTAAGAGCAAAAGTAAAGTTTCATGTCCTTGATCCATTTTGAGTTCATGTTTGTATGTGGTGTAAGGTAAGGGTCCAACTTCATTTTTTACATGTGAATATCCAGTTTTCTCAGCACCATTTATAGAAGACTGTCCTTTCCCCGGGGAATGGTCTCAGCACCCTTGCTGAGAACCATTTAGTCGAATGTGTGAGGATTTATTTCTGGGCTCTCTCGGCTATTCCATTGGCCTGTATATCTGTCCTTAAGACAGTACCACACTGTTTTATTTTTTTAATTTTATTTTTTTTAATTATTTATTTATTTATTTGACAGAGACAGAGACAGCGAGAGCAGGAACACAAGCAGGGGGAGTGGGAGAGGGAGAAGCAGGCTTCCTGCTGAGCCGGGAGCCCGATGTGGGACTCGATCCCAGGACCCTGGGATCATGACCTGAGCCGAAGGCAGTCGCTTAACCAACTGAGCCACCCAGGCGCCCTAGTACCACACTGTTTTAATGACTGTAGCTTTGTAATAAGTTTTGAAATCAGGAAGCGTGAAGCTTTCAACTTTCTTCTTTTTCGGTATGGTTTGGCTATTCGGGGTCCCTTGAGATTCCATGTGAATTTTAGGATGGATTTTCCCATTTCTTCAAAAAATCATTGTGGGATTTTGATAGAGATTGCTTTGACTCTGTAGGTCACTTTGGGCGGTATTGACAGTTTAACAACAGTAAGTCTTACAATCAATGAATATGGGATGTCTTCCCATTTATTTGTGTCTTCTTAAATTTATCTCAGCAATGTTTTATAGCTTTCAATGAACCAGTCTTATGCCTCGTTGGTTAGGTTTATTCCCAAGTATTTTCTTGTTTTGATGCTTTTGTAAATGAGATTGATCATGTGGGGTTTTTCCTTCATTCTGTAAATATGGTATCTTAAACTGATTGATTTTCATATGTTGAACATCCTTGCATTCCAGAAATAAATCCCACTGGGTCATGGTGTATAATCCTTTTAATATGCTGCTGAATTTGGTTTGCTAGTGTTTTGTTGAGAATATTTTTACATCAATATTCATAAGGGACATAGGTCTGTAGATTTATTTTCTTGTGGGTCTTTGTCTGGCTTTGGTATCAGGGGAATGCTGGCCTCATAGAATGAGTTAGGAAGCATGCCCTCCTCTTCAAATTTTTGGAAGAGTTTGAGAAGGACTGGTGTTAATTCTGAAATGTTTTGTAGATCTCACCGGTGAAGCCATCTGGTCCTGCTTTTTTCTTCGTTGGGAGATTTTGAGTCATTCTTCTTAATATCCTCATTTGTATTTCACTGTATGGATTTGCCATAATTTATTTAGCCAATTGTTAATTGATGGACATTTACACTGTTTCCATTCTTTTGCTGCTATGAACATCCTGGGGACACAGTTTTGAATTTATAAATTTTGACAAGCTATTTTTAAAAAATAGTCACATTATTTTAAGGTCATGCTCTTCCTTGAGCTAACTGATGTAGGAAATGGGAAGTCCCACTAAGACAGACCATTTCATTCAGCATTTTCAGAAGAAAGGGGACAGTTTATAAACTTGTGTATGCATTACGGTGTCCAGTACACTGGATGTTATCAACACATTTTGTCGAATCAACTAAAGAAGAAAGTCAGTCCAGGGGGTGCCTGGGTGGCTCAGCTGGTTAAGTGTCTGCCTTCAGCTCAGGTCATGATCTCAGGGTCCTGGGATCAAGCC